GTCTTGACATTCTAGTAACACGTGAGCAATGGTTTCAGCCTGATTGCAAGATGAACAAGTGTGACCGAGTCTTGGGCGTCATATAGCAATTTCAATTTTCCTTTCATTTGAGTATGAGTTTGGCTTTTGTTCGACCTTGGGTTGAATTTTGTATAGCCATCTGTCGATCTTACTTGCGTCCTATTGGTCTTGCCATCTTTCTGCCATGGAGGCTTTGATTTTGCTTTTTATCTCTAGTTTACTAAAGGGAATAGGCTGTATATCCGCTTTGTCTAGAGCTTGCTTCGCCAGTGAGTCTGCTTTTTCATTTCCATGAATACCTATGTGAGAGGGGATCCAACACAGCTCAACCTGTTGCCCTTGGTCCGATAGTATATTCGTATAGAATATTGAGTGTGTTTGGCCTGGAGTTTGAGTTTCTGCCACTGATAGTCAGTTGGCCAGGGGTGAAAAACAAGATTTTCGTTCCCACCTTTTCCTGTATACCTTAAACCTTTTCTATTGCATAAAGGAGGTATCTGTACACAATTTTCATTGGGTAGTAAGCTTGCAAGTGTGTGCAGGAATTTTCAGGGGGTCAAAATTGCATAAATTGAAGGAAAAATGCATAATTTGACAAAATTGGCTGTAACACTTTTATTAAGTCATTAAACTATCCCAATTATGTCTTTGATTACAGGTAATATGTTCGGTTATCTGAATTTGGCAAACATTTCGTTTCATTTAATTGTTATTTTAATTCTCAGTGGAAACATTGGTAAAAATCATGTTTTTTTACTTCATTTTCAAATCTTGTGAGTAGGTAAAACACTAATTCCATTGAATTTTGACAATAAAACCATACAAAAAACAAAATGAAAATATATTACATAGGGGTTGAGATATTGTATACAGTGTTACCCCACCCCCCAAAAACCAATTTTGACGAAAATTGCTTATTGAGATATGGTGGTAAATGATGCTGCTGTAGTGGATGAGTGGGATAATTGCAACAATGCTTAAAAACACCAAAATAGTAATCTCATAAAGAAAAATGATGTTTAAAGTTTTTCCGTGAGCATTTTGGGTGGCCATCTTGAATTTCAAGATGGCCGCCATTTTGACCTGTTTTCGAAATCAAGATCTTATATAGTTCTTCAACATGGTCATGTAATATATCATATGAAAGCTTTTTACATTGTCTTTTCAATGATGTACATAATTCACTGACTCCTGTGGTAAATTGATCCCCATCAATGAAAAAAAGGAAATATTGAAAGCTAATTTCTCGCAACTTTACCCAAATTTTGATTTAAATTAAAATGGACATCGTTTCACTCAAAATTGTAGATATACTGCACTTTTGTCTGAGCATTTCACTAGTTTATAATTTTAGTGATGAAACAAACATGTGAATACTTCTAGTATTATGAAGTATTAAAAATAAAATGTGAAATAATGTCATCTCTAGTCACCGTCAGAGTCCGTCTCATCTTGAAAGGTAGGTAAGTTGTTTCTGTTTAGGCATGACATAGCACAACTGCATCCAAGGGAACATCCCATGATGTTCTTGGTGCAGCTACACCTGAATGAGGAGCATCTGCCTGTTGTGCATTTACAGGTAAGTAATTCTAGATACAGTGCTGGCATTTATTCCTGGGTCATTGGGATGGGTTCTCAGTGGACGTCCACCTATACCCTTCTGGTGGTGGAATGTCAGCCTTTCCTTTGTGTGCTCAACTCATAGACGATTCTAAAAAAGAGTCATGGCAGACCTTCAGTCCTTTCTATGTTGTATCGCATCATCAAACTCTGTCACAGTAAATGGTATATTGTATACCAGATGCTTGCTTTGCGGCCGTTTTGAGATCTTAAGCATACGCATTTTTTCCTGTTTGAATTCTTTGCTGCAATTTGTGTTGCTGCTGACAGATGAGAAATGTTGGCCTTTTCTTTGACTGTATGGGCGTTGGCTAACTTGGGAATTTTTGTGGGTTTACGCTTACCCCTGATTGCGTGTATTTTGCTCCAGACTGTTTTAGCAGTTGTTTTCTCATTTGCAGAAGGTCTGCCATGACTCTTTTTTAGAATCGTCTATGAGTTGTCATACTTTTGTCCTGGCTGCTCTCCCAGACTGACCCTGTCAGTCGGGTTTTGTAGAGAGAGGTATTACATAACGTGTGGCAAGGTCATTGTCCCACGTGTATGTGTATACGTAAGATCCGGCGGCGTAAGTAGGTGCTAATTGACATTTATAGATAGCGCTGGAGATTTAGGGTTCTGCCCGGATGGGGCTTGTGATCAGAGGGGATACGCCGAATGTTTGTTGAATATATTAAACAGACAAAGGGCATAGAATTTCGGTGCACTTGGAAACATATTTAACCAATAAGTTATTTAAGATGAGTGAAATTTTTAAAAAAAGTATTGAACTGTTTTGCACTATTTTAAATAAAACTATTGAAATGATTTGCACTGTAATGTGTGTACAATTTCACATTAAAAAATATATAAGAAATAAACGACTCGTGGTAGTTGATAACCGTAAAATAAAACACTGCAGAGAGAATAAACCATGAGGGGTGCAGCCCCAAATAGTTTATTCTCCCTGCAGTGTTTTATCCAAGATGGCCAACTTCATAACCAACAGTCATAGGATCAAGAAAAAAGACTCTTTTTATGCGGTTTTGACCTCAAGGATTCCAAATCTGATCTTTGTTTTGACATAGAATTGCGTGTTGGTCCATTTAGTCGTTGAAAACATATTAAAGCATACATACACTCATGCAACCGCCCCGTTTGATGAACTATTTTATTCCACGTTGCGGCTGTCCGTGTAAACATGAAGCAACATATACTGAATGAAATTGCCTTCCCTGGATCAATATAAGATATTGATATGAAAATAAATTCTGTTCCAGGAATAAATTCATTGTTTACAAATACAGGTTTACCAATGTAGGTATGATCATTCCATCCCAGGGGCGTTCGGGAGCCTAGTGGTTAAAGCGTTCGCTCGTCACGCCGAAGACCTGGGTTCGATTCCCGACATGGGTACAATGTGTGAAGCCCATTTCTGGTGTCCCCCGCCGTGATATTGCTGGAATATTGCTAAAAGCGGCGTAAAACCATACTCACTCACTCATTCAATCCCAAAATCCAGGATATGGGACCTACTGAAATAATGAAGCGCACGTAAAATATCAGCTAGATACACGATTATTCCACAAATTCTGTCACCATCCTCTGCAACCACAAGATACCACAGCCCCCGTGTCTGCTATCAGATAATGGAGTGAAAAGGGTTCAGTGTGAATCCATTCGAGTGGGGATGGCACATGATAGATGGGCGTTGCTTACAATACAGTCAGATCAGCCAGCAGCACCTCCAGCACTTCGTGATATTATCTGCTGTAATTTCAACAACAAAAAGATGCACTTGCCGGAAATATGGTCTCACTTGCCGTGCTGTGTGCGCGGAATACCATGGTACGAGCTGTACCAATAAACAGTTACCAGACTTCTCAAGGGAGTCTCAAACCTGTTGAGACTTTCGAGGTGCATGTATATAATGACCCCTGCAACAGCAAGCTACAGCATTCACCGTGACAATCTTTCCACTCCTCGTTGTGACCCGTGATGGTCCGGGTTAGAATACTCTCTTCAGCACAGCAAGCCATGCTTGTCGTAAGAGGCGACTAACGGGATGGGATGGTCTGGCTCGCTGACTTGGTTGATGCATGTCATCGTATCCAAATTGCTTAGATAGATGCTCATGATGTCAGTCTCTGGATTGTCTGGTCCAGACTTAAATATTTACAGACCGCCATCATATAGCTGGAATATTGCTGAGTGCGCAAATAAACTACAAGGGAGATAACTCATCGACTTCTTGTGAATCAACTGGTTTGGGGTAAATTCGCAGAGGATCTCATATAGGTCATACTTGTTTCCAACAAGTATTTACATGAATGAAAACGAAACTTATTGTAGCGTTTATTGTCATGTTAATAAGTAGATTCAGACAATAACAATCAACATTGATATCTAACTCGACAAAACTCGTCATTCAAGAGGTACATATTGATATGTGGTGGTTATATTAGGTTTATGCAAATAACTGAGTATTCTACATGTATCCTTGCGTCTGTTTACTCCAATGTAGAAGTTCAAATCACTGAAATATGTCATCAGAGACCAACAGTGTATTGATATTCTATGCCTAGCCATAAAACTCTTGGCGGCCATCTTGGATTTTTGGGCCACCAGGGGCCTCAGGTGACGGAGTTTCTTTCTTAAAGTGTTAAGTATACTTCAGTGAGTTAATGTGGCAAGTTATATGCATATAAGTCCTGGGACACTGTTTTAGAGTTAAAAGATTCAACCGTGTAAACACACATATAGGAAACTTGTCGGCCATCTTAAAATTGGCCATTTTCAAGTCTTGAATTTTTGCAGATTTGTCAATAGTTGGAAACGTTCAGTAGTTGTGAATATCTGTTTAGAAACATAATATGGCTATTTCGCAATACAACACATGCTTTTTACATCAAAACATTGAACCTTTTCTGACATATGGACAATATATTGATTATAGGTGACCAGATTGGATTATGCAAATTAGACATATTTCCCAAACTGGGATTGCTTGGGACTTGAAATGCTTTGTGGTGAAATATATTCTTTTGCAATTTGTTCCCAGTTGAGTGGAAAATGGCCTAGATTGCCTGGGCTAATAGGGTTAGTGCAAATATCACAAGATAGGTCCCATGTCTTTACAAACTCCCCCCGATTTAATGTTGTACACGTAAATATAAATTGTCAATGCAACAGAATAACCAACCTTGTCGGAAATTGCCCAAAGCTTGTTCAAAATGGATCTAATATAAAACACAAAATAAAAAAGGCTACAGATCACCAGCAACCAAAATTAGGCCACCATCCTAGGGACCGTGGGGTCCAAACGGATTAAGACCAAGTTTTTTATAGTGTGCAGTGGGGGCTTTAGGGCCCCATTGTACTTTTTGGTGAAGAGCCAGAAAGATGGAAAATATATTTTGTTGAATAAATATTTCTTAATAAATGAGTGAGATTTCCTGTAGTGAGCGTCATCTCTGAGAGTTGACATGTATGCTGATAATCAAGAACCTCAAAACACGAGGGTGGAAAAACGGAAGTCATATTAGATCATATATATTATACTGATTAATTAGAAAAAGGTTACTGCCGAGACCATGAAGTGTTCTAACCAGTGAAACCATTTATAAATTAATGCCATAATGCTTCAGCTGAGTGAGTACTTCAGTTTGATTGACAGAAACATATATTCGGGTATATAGAGGCTTGTAGTCCACAGATATTAACCGGTAAAGTCGTCCCGTACTGTTGAGGCCGTCGGTCTCAAATCGGAGGCGACTTTTTCCATACACAGCCATCCTGAAGAAAATACATAGATTGAATATCGGAGTCAGTATACTGTGTCTTAGTGGGGTATCAATGTTAAACTGCGACATGGCATCTCAGTGTTTTAGCACTATAAAATCGGCATTTGTCCGGATAAGTACAAGCAGCCACACACATGTGCATGCACATCCCTTAAACCCCATTTCACTTCACGTCAGACATAATTTTTGTCACTGATGCGTCGAATTCGAAAATACATTTCTACCATAAAAGTTTTTCAAAGTTTTACTAAAGCGGTGCATGTTGTAATCCTGATCAAACAACTTTTGAACACGAGTTGTATGACCCTCTTCGAAATATTCGTAGAAAGAGCATGCTCGATTGTACCTCAACAGTTGTGAAACGTAGATACAAAAGGCTGGAGCAGCTGGAATACCGCTCGACATAACGTGACGGATGACCATCGGAAAGTTGAAATGATCCCTCTTGTCAAACAGTTTTGTGGGTAATTTTGTCACTCTGAACCTTTATGCATAGATATAAATGTGAAACAGATGACGCAGTTTCATTGATCTTTTATTTCTAGTTCAGTTGGGTAGACTAGTGAAATTGAATTGGCTATTTGACCACTATTGAGCGATATCAGATTCGATATATGTGAAACATCTTGGCCAAATCTCCTTGTTTTGATGTCAGAGGAGAAATACCGTTTTATATGCATAAAATAACAGATCAGCAAGGATGAGAGCACAATTGGTGCTCATGAGCCTTTTTGGCAAATGTATTTGGACGTGAAATCCACCATTTCACAATTGTTTTCTACGTAAACTTCAGATGACACGTGCTTTCATTTTTGACACACTGTCCTCAACGTCTGAAGAACCTCTGAAATGTAACTATATCTACGGTATCCACGTTTAGTGACAAATGCCCCATGGGCCGAGGAATGAAGTTTTCCATTATGTTCGTCGTGTGAGATTGCGATATACAAAGTTGAAAAACAAATGCTTTTACATATTTGAACTTCTTTTCTGAGATTGCAAAGCTCCAAGAAAATCCTTTCTTTTTTTGAGAATCCACAAGATTTTAATTCCACTTTTCTCAAATACTTTATGTGAGTATAAAGAACGGCCTTCCTTTGTTGTATTAAGGATTGTGATTAATCTTTTATTTGATTTGGTGGTACATTTGACGGACCCAGCAATATATCTCTCTTTGTACGGATTTATATAGCGCTTTGGAATCCAGTATAAATGAGGAATGGATGTCACCGGGTTATAGAGTCAAGAAAAAAATTAATAAAAGCGACAAAACCCTTTCCACAATCATAAGAAATATTGATTGTACGATTCCGGTTTTATCATGAGCATGTGTTTATTATATGTAGTGATGCATGGTTTTGGCATATTAACATGTGGCATTATTTGATGTAGTGATTTGCATTCACCAATCACCACTCTCTCTCTCTCTCTCTCACACACACACACACACACACACACACACACTTCTGCCCAGACGTTCATTCCCCTGACACGCGTGTGTGCAGCGCGTGTGTAACCTGCTGACCACGCGTGTGCCATGCGTGTAACAGGGGACCGGGTTTCATTTGAATTTGACAAATTGATCAAATCAATATAGAGAGAAAGCAGAACAATAAGATGTGAATCTTGAGTATATGAGCGGCCATTGACCTGTGTCCACCAGACAATAAACACAATTTCGACCCGTCTTTATTTGTGCTCAGTTGCTGGACTTTGTGACAAGCTGTCTAGGACAACTGAAAATATAGTGAAATATCTGCTACAAAGACATCGATCGAGGTAAAATCAGTGATTAATCAATCACTTTTACATCTTGTGAGATCGTTAGTGTCATTTCATGTCGGAAATTATGCCAGAAATTGGAGAAAGTGTTCTCACCGACTCGGAGGACTACATGCTGTCAGGCTTGTTACCCGGCCTGTCAGTGACAAGTTGTTCATCGTCAAAGACACCGATCAGAGAAATCTGCAGGAATGATGATTCTAAGAAAAGAAAGGAGGAGATAGAAGAAGTAAGATTAACAACGATAGAGGTGCAAGTTCACTCAAGCGAGGCGGGATCAAACGATGGACACAATGGCGACGGTCAAGGTACAAAGTACAACACAAGAGTCAGACAGGTGAGAATGTCGATCTGGTGCATACAGACAATGTGAGTAGAGACTCAACAGTCAACACATACATCAAAGTGCTGTTCAGTAGAATGTGAGAAAAGCCTCACAGGGGTGATGACAGCAATTGAATATCTCACAAGACATTTTGATAAAGGGTTAGACACAATGGAGGAGAGAATAATGTGTGAAATGCAGAACATTATAGACATAGAGATATGTAAAGTGAGGTTAGAGATAAGATAGGCGATGTGAACTCTGAGCTCAAACAAATGAAAGATGAACAAGACCAAAAACACGAAACAATGAAAAAGAGTATAGTCAATATACGCAGACAAAAAAGCTATGCTGCAGCTGCAAAAGAAGAAATTAGTGGGCTAAACATTGTGTTGAGAAATGTTCAAGATTCGAACAACGAGTGTGCTACCTCCAAATTGAATGTCATAATTAAAGATGGACTAAAGTTTGGAGACATTACAGCAGTCAATGCTGCTAGGAAATATTCGAATAACCCCCGATATCCTGGTGTAGAAATCGCCAAATGCAGATCCATCGACCACAGGAAGATCATCCATGGTGAAAAAATGAAACTAAAAGATAGCAGAAACTTTAGGGAGGTTTATATTCAAAATGATAAACCCCTACAGCAGAGAAAATTGGAGAACAACATGAAGTTGCTTGTTGAAACAGTGGGTGATGGTCAGCTAAACTGTCAGGAAGCAGACTGCAGTGGGTACATCGAGGGAGGGAGGACTGGTCAAGTCCCGGGAAAGAGGCGACAACAGGTTGGAGAGAGACACGCGACACAACCAGAATGATTCGCGTTCACGTGGTCGTGTTTACATACACGTGTCACGTGAATGGAGCCAGCCAACCGACACAGAAGCGAGAAGTCACAGCCGGCGATCCAATCTGCGAAACTTCTAGGTTCGATGTGGGTTTGGGAATACGTGTGGTTTTTCAAAAGACACTAATTCTGATAATTATTTATTACGCTCACAGTTTTTATCCAATCTAACCTAGACATTGTAGGTGCTGCAGAGACGCATTTAATTGGTGATAATGCACTGAATGTTGATGGATATATATGGTACGGACACAACCGAAAAAATAGACATGCAAAAGCCAAGTGTGGTTCAAGGGCGTTGGTTTTTTCAGCAAACGTGAATTTTATGATTGTTTTAGTGTTATTTTTTTATATTCCTCATACGAAAGTATATTGTGGATGGAGTTGACAAATAAGGATAATCATGATATTGTTATTACAATTTGTGTATGTTATTTGCCACCTGAATATTCATCAAGACAAATAGATGTTGTTGAGTTTTTTATACACTTTAATGCAGGTTATTAAATATCAACGGCCTGAGATGACATGTATTTGTGGAGATATTAATAATCAATGTTGAGGGCTGTTAGACTGTGTGGAAGGAGTTGATATTTTGCCTAACCGGGAAACAATTGACAGTACTGTTAATAATTGCGGCCATCTCCTAATTGACTTTTAAATTAACATTAATTATTGTATTGTGAATGGAAGATGTGACTCAAGGGACGACTTTGCTTATATAGCATCTAGGGGTGCCTCTGTGGTACTACTGCATATGTCCGCATGAGAAACTGAACAAAATAATTTACTTTAATGTGTTAAGGCCAACTGAAATAGGTAACGTTGTGGCAGCCAGGGTGCGGTAGATCAAGCTGTTCTTAAAGTTGATCCTTCGGTGTTAAACTGTACTCTTGATATTAATGTGCCGGTGAAGAAACCAGAATATCGCAACTGTGTATCTGAGAGTAAAATAAGTTGCGACACATCAAATATTCCACAAACTTTCATGTCATCAGAAGAATGCAGCGAGACCCTTAACCACATCATAGACACCTTCACGAGGCAAGAGAGTTAACTGACAACAAAAGTCCAGTTTCAACCCTTGCCGAACTAGGCTAGAATTCCCGGGCTCGATCCTAGCGCCACCATTGGCTATTACGAGCTATGTCCCTTCTGTGCCAATCAGATTCCACCTCTCGTTTCACTTCCATTTGCAAAATGGCGGCGCCCAGTCAAGACGATCTGATTGATAATCAAGATCTATGTTGTGATAAATAGGGTGTTACACTGCAAAGTGCATCAAATCACGCGAGCATCTTGATACAAAACATGAAAAGATTTGGAAAATATTTGTTGACAACGAGTTGGCGGTGGGCATGCTTTGTAAATCCTGCAATCTACCGAAATTTGCACGACGATTTACGAACCGGATTTCGATTTCGTTGCGCGATTGTGATTGGACTATGCATAGACTCGTTAGTCCAGTCAAAATTTCATAAAACCAGCCTCTCTCGGCAAGAGTGAAAACTGGACGTTGATGAGTTAACTCTCTCGCCTCGGGAAGATGCATCATAGATGGACTTGGGAATTCTAAGAAGGATCAAGGCGACTTTAAAGACTTTGATATGTATGTTAAATAGGAAATGATGAGAGTACTACCAACTAAGCGTTTGTCTAATTCAAAACAGAGCAATAAGAAGCGATGCAACCGTAAACCCTGGTGGACAGAAGAGTTATCTTCCCTGTGGAACGCAATGTGTTCAGCAGAAAGGGCGTGGTGTCGGTGCAAGGGTCCTCAGAAGGCAAATCACAAAGCAGCGTATGTAAGTGCTAGAACCATTCGATAAGAAGGTGCAGCGAGTAGATGAAGTGCAGCGAGTGATATCAAGTGCGAAACGTGGTAAATCACATGGAATTGACGACATTCCATCTACAGTTCTTAAAAATAAAAACTGTTTACGTTTTTTCCATGAATTATTTAACGCATGTTTCTGTAAGGGCGTAGTCCCTTTAATATGGTGTAAAGGCATCATCTCACCTATCCCGAAGAGTTCGATCGGAGACCCAGGTTACCCCTTGGCATAGCGCGGCATCACCCTAGCCAGCGCATGCTATAAGATACACTGTGGAGTATTGAACAATAGACTGACATCATATGTTGTGGAAACGAATGATCCCCTGCACGACAGCCAGAACGGTTTTAGACTGGGTCGATCAACTACAGAACACATATATAGACTCACCTCTATAGTCAAAACAAGGAAAAGTCAAAGAAAACCAACGTTTGCTGCTTTCATCGACTTCGGAAAAGCCTACGATTTTATAGATAGAAGCATTTTATGGGATACGTTGTTGTCATATTCTGATGTTAAACTCATCACTCATACTAAACCCCATACACTCTACCTGGCCATCTCATACACAAATTTACTCAGATGGATTACAAGACAAAAACAATAAAACAGGGCTAGGTATCCATTAAGACCATACTTACTGCCCTACATTCAGTAAAACCACTAAAGGAAACAACTTTTTAATCATTTCAGACTCATTAGGCTCATTAAAACAAATTCAAAACAAGTATTCAAAATCCCGCCCTGACCTAATCAATAATATCATACATCTTATAGAAGAATTGAAACAAACTAATAAATCTATAAGTCTGTTATGGATAATCAAACATACCTGGAAACCACATAGCAGACACAGCAGGAAAAATAACAACCACACATCACTATTACCATCATATTATTCAAAATTCCAACTCTACGTGGCTTAAAACCTAATTTTATAAACAAGTCTATATATAAATGCCACAATTACAACATTTCGACATTTTTTTAAACAAATCATATCCCGAATAATAAGTGGCCACACAAATGTTAATTATAACTTATATAAACAGAACCGGCAACTGGTAACTGTGTATACACTGCAATAGCCACAAGACCTTTATCATGTTTTTAATCACTGTCCTTTATATAGCACCCTTCACTCCAAAATTTACCTCTCTACCCCTTCTCACGAAATATCCAGCGCGAACTGTCTTCTACGACGCCCGCGCGCTAAACTTTACTTAACCATACCACTAAATCAGAACGCCGTTCAACCAGCCAGCTCTTACGGTCAAGGACACCAAAATTCGGTCTTTACTCCACTCACACGGCTAACGCGCTACACAGATATCTCACCCCCCACCCCAGCCGGTATAGACTTACGCTAGGCGCTTATTCCCTTTTTCTTCCTTCATTTGGCCTCTATATCTAACTGCAGCCTAACTGCTTTCATTTTATCACCGATTATGCTATAATTTTCTCCTGAAGCCAAGAGATGCAATAGCGAAGGCCAAACTAACTCTATTTCTGAGAGATGGACAGCTTCTCGAACCTATATAAACAGAGCAGCCAAAGATAAAAATGAAATTATATCATTATACGAAAATCGAAACATATCGAAACATATCGAAACATAACGAAATTGCTAAGGCAGAAGGCGCCCTCTTAAACACTTAAGACAACAACAACAAACATACACATACTTCATCTAATCTAAACCAAACACATTGCTTTAAGTGAATGGCAATGGTAAAAATGATTGAAATTGACGATTCTTCCCACTTTTAAATACTGTTCATGTAAACCTCTAAAATCAAACCTTTTGCAGTCCAAAGCGGCGTTTATATTACTCAGTAGTTTTACATGGGCACACGTCCTACTTTGAACTGTCGTACAGAGCCACTTGATATGATGTAGACTGGGAAATAGGTCCTAACTGGGTAGCCCTTTGTGGACCCTCTTGTATTTGTCCATAGGCTCTAAGTGGGTCTTGAGAGGGCATGTATGTATAGCCTATATGGGACATAGATGGGTTGTGTCTGTGAATGTGTTTTTCCATATATGCTTATCATTTGCAACCCTTTAGTGGCATCACTACATATTCACATATACTCACATGTATGTAAAATTTGAGGCATATATTCCACATCTCATGTTTATACGTGCTATATCTCTATAACCCATTCTATTAATACTGCGTAGGTCTCTTTTAAATTATATATCATATGTAACTCTTTTTCGAACAAATATTATGATTAAAATTCAACATTTCAATACTGAGTAATATTTTCTCTTTTCTAATTAAAACGGTCTACTTACAACGGACATCTAATTTTTACCATCGGTTTGGTGAACAATAGTTGAATTGTTACTTTGTTGTGTTTTGTCGCTGTGTATACATCAGGCTGCACTTCGTAACGTTATGTCAGGACAGGCCGACTATCAACAACGTCTGACTGTGGCCGTGACGTTTCATGGCCTAGGATTTGAATAGCTTCCCTTTAATAAAGGGCAGTTACTCTATCGGACAGATCACGTAATAACATAAGACGCAATAAATAATGATGCGCGCATTCCAGGAAAACTTGCAATGTTTCGGTAATGTTTGTGAAAGATGGAAAGAGATTGTCGAGATTGCACACAATTGAAGGTGAGGTGAGGTGAAATGGGGTTTAACGTCGCGTCTAAGATTATTGCACTTACATAGCGACGTGCATGCATGGTGTGTGTGTGTGTGTGTGTGTGTGTGTGTGTGTGTGGCTGCCTGCCTGTACTAGTCCGGACTAATGAAGATTTATGGTGCTAGCACACTGAGATGCCATGCCTCAGTTTAACATGAATACCCCACTCAGACACAGTATACTGTCTCCGAGCCGATCAGTCCTTGTTTTATCCCCTTAATGCCTAGCGCCACACAGGGTAACAACAAGTACCATCTTTTAACGTCTTTTGGTATGACGCGACCGGGGATCGAACCCCGTATCTTCCGCTCTCCGGACGAACGCTCTACCTCTAGACCACGGAGGCGGTTAACAGAATTGAAGAATGACATTATATGTTAAAGAGGTTATCACGTTTGTGTGTTTGCGGGTGGTAAATATCCTGTATTATGAATAAACCCTTTGTATTTAGCTCGCCAAGGCTCGCTAAACACAATGTTTATTCCTAATACAGGATGTTACAATCTCCAAACACACTCGCGTGATAATCTCTATATATTTATTGATATTGCATAATCGATTTTTAGAATCAGCAAGATATAGAGAATCTTACCTGAGTGTCTTTTGGCATCAAATACATGAACACGAGTTGATAAAAGAGGAAAAACTCCGAGGCTTGCGAGGCGTGACGGACGGATTGCACACGGGTTGCTTCACGCGTGTAAGGGGGATGAACTTCCAGGCAGTGGTATATATATATACTGAACCGCAAAAGAAACGTCTCCATGGATAGATATATGAGAAACCTTATTTGTCCAAACGCTGTAAACATACAAAACCTATCATTAAGGTCGAAATTAAAGTGTCAAACGTACTTAAAGTGAAACACAACACTTGTCTCTGAGAAAATGGCATGACAAGTCAGTATCTCGTGTGTCCGCCATGTGCATTGATGACTGCCGTGCAACGTCGATACATGGAATGGATGAGGCCATGGGCACTTGAGCCCACACTCTGAGGAACGCCTGTCGCAGTTCAGCTGCAGTTGTCTGCCTTGGTCGGACGTCATTCAGCCGTTTTTTTAATCTCGCCCCACAGATGCTCAATGGGATTTAAATCGGGACTGAGGGGAGTCCACTGCATGGTTCTGATGCCATTCTGCTGGAGGAAGTCTCTTGTTGCTCTCTCAGTTTGGGCACGGGCGTTTTCATGCTGAAACTCGTGGTTGCGGCGACGTGCCAAATTAGGTATGGCGTGTGGTCTCAAAACTTGATCAATGTACCGAGCTGCTGTGACACCATTGCCTCTCCCTGAACCAATGTGCAAGACCAATTCCACCCCACGTCATGATGCTCGGACCACCCCACGAGTCTCTCTCAACAACACAAGCATCCGAATAACGTTTCCCACGGCGTCGCCAGACTCTCTGCCATCTGCTGTTGAGATACAGTAAGGGCTCTCGTCTGAGAAGAAGACTTTTCTCAACTGCTGGTGGCGCCAATGCTGGTGCTGTGTTGCCCACTGAAGACGGTCCCGGCGATGACGTGGTGTCAGAATGGGTCCTCAGTGTGGCCTGTGACAGTGGAGGTGTCTGCTCGTCAATCGTCGTCGCACGGTGTCCGCACCAATGTGTCGCTGGTGTGTCCCCATGGTCTGTCGAGTAGTTTCCGCGGCAGTAACAAAGCGATCTTGAAGATGCTGTCGCACAGTCAGACGATCCTGACGTCGGGTGGTGACCCTTGATCTTCCACTACGTGGTCGGTCATCTGTAGCGTTGGTGGCATGGTACCGTTGTTGGAGCCTGTATATGGTCCTTACGTGGACTTGCCGGGCGGTTTGTCCAGCTTGCAATCGCCCAAGGGCTTGGTGTCGCTGATTTCTTGTCAATCTTGGTATGTGGTGGCAATTCAATAAGGAATGAATGTTATCCGATCTGGGTGGATTTTTATAGGGCAAGAAATGGGGGAACGCATGTGCATTTCAATTTGCACGGAACTCACGTGCATCGGGTTACCATGGCCGTTGCCGTGATGCGTTTGGGCTATCGGTTTTATTGTCATCTGCTTTGTTTTTTATCGTCAAATTTCATTTTTCCCGGAGAGGTAATGTTAAACTTTAGAAACTTTGACTAAAAATACTCAGAAATTTAAAAGACTTTTCATGCAATGTTACTTTGGGTGACGTTTCTTTTGCGGTCTGTTCATTATTACATGCTGATTGTATTGCACCATATAAATGTTCTGAAAGTGGAGAGCATAATTCTACTTACTCTTCCTTTGTATGGTGCGGGTCTTTCTTATGCGTCAAAGCAGTGTAACGAGGATATCTGCTGAATTCATATGGCATTTTTTTCTTCAGCAATCTGAAAATGATTGTATATCGATATGAAATAAGTATGCAAGTGGTATGATTATGATTTACTTACTGAATTTGCCCTTTGTGAACGACTGGGGCATATAACTGGTGCCATTAGCACCTGTCGCGTTTGACGTCACTGATATAATTGCAAGATATGTAAAATGATTAACTTCACAAATGCCATGAACAATGCAAACTGATACTTACACAAAGCACCATGTGTTGAATGCATTCTATATGAGCTAGATGTATGTGGTAAAATACATCGTAACGATTCGTTCTATCCTTGTTATACTATTTGTATGAAACTGCATGGTTCTCATCCTCTTCCAGCAATGATACTGTCACAGTACGAGTGGACATTATGGTACTATGGGTCTGTCTTTGCTTATATGTATGGGTCTACCTACGTCATCTTACCGCAACGTCGAACCGACATTACTGTTACAATTGAACCGTGGTTATTTCAGTTATTGAGTTTGATATCTAATCGGGTGATCTATATTCGAAATGTATATACATATATGTATGTTCTTTTAAAAAAATTTTAGACTTGGGCAACCACGTGCAATCCTATCACCTTGGCATAAAAGAACACTGGTTACAGATGTTAAAAACGTGTACCTACATGTATGTCATGTCAAATCCATCTGTTGCACGTGGCGCATCTACTTGGGAATATGTCAATAATATCAGGTTTCGAGTTGAAAAGACACACGTTATTACACAAGAGAAAGGAAACGTCCTACCTATTCAAATTATCTCTCTAATCAAAGTCTTAAAACCATCGAGTCAATTCTATATTGTTTACATTAAACTCATCGAAATTGTTTGTCAACTGATCGAAAGATGCAACCACGATCAGATTACCGCTACTGACGCCATGAAACGAACCTTAGTTGTCAGAGAATGGATCTATATATCATAAATGTCATACGTTGACTCGTAACGAGTCATATTATTTGTAGTTTGACTATCATACGTCAACATATTCGCGATCGAAATTGCAAGACCGTCTGATCTTCAACGGTGACACGTCCAAGTGCTACAGACATATAATAAAAGCTTCAAATGAAATAACAATATAATGGAATATGTTATTCCTGGTCAAATATTAATTACAAATACTTTGTCAATCATTGTATCATTCTTTTAAGTTATGTTATTGGATTTATTTAGATTGGGACAAAATGTATGCAGAGCTGATGGATATTTTTCAGGCTTAGTTTCAGAGGCAAATACACACAGGGATGGTAATCTCTGCATGTAAAACAATGTCTAGAATAACCAGAGCTACAACTGAAATGATCAATTAATAAGTCAATTGATGTTTTATGGCAAACGATATTACCCGAACTACATTCCATATTGGGAATAGCGCGCTGAGCAAATGCATGATGTAACCATTTCAAATCATACGTAATCGAAACATTTCGAAAGGAATTTAAAAAACGAACGATTTTGTATGAATGAGTGATGTAGTGTAAACAAAGAAGGGGTACATAGGTGGTGATGTTGAAATTAAATTGTGATATGTCTGTCAACGTAAACATGGTGGCTCAGGTAAGAAAAGTACAGTTAGAGCCATACAGATCCCTAACTGCAAGTATTATGCTCCATTTTTATTAAATTATGCGTGAACTGCCAGTCACTGTTTGAAAAGCCTTACCTGTGAAACAGGTCATCATCTTCACCTCCCCACATGAAGAACAAGTTAGAGTAACCATTGATGGTGGAGAAAAATGTCTCGTTGAAGGTGATCACTCCACCAAAGTGATACTTGTAAAATATCCTGGAAATAAGTGTGTGAGTTATGTTTAACGCAGCTATTATTTCAGTTGTATGACAGTTTGTCAGCATATTGTTGGAGTGAGTGATATGACTTGGACACCTTAAATTGGATTCAAACATTATACCCATGTGGGAAATCGAACACATCGGTCTTAGTCTACCCCAACACATCAAGTAAGATACAAGAACATTTTTCTTTATGAACATTTGACATGTCCTTCCCGGTCAGGCACAAACTATATAGCTCCCGTCACATACTGAAATGAAAGTTTTAATTAAATGCACCAGACACACGAATTAATCACTTAAAGTCGACGAACGCATTATTACTATCAGCTCTCATCTTGGTGCGTTATCAGATAATGGGATTAATGCTATTAACAAACCTTAAATAGGAATTCGATAAATATGTGCAATCCATCATTCAGAAAACTGGAATTGGAACACCTTTGTTTACTCCTACCCTGAAAACCATGCACCACCAGAACTATTTTGAATTTAACAATCTGTAGAGAGGATGGCAAAGGGTTGAGTCTACCTGTATTTCAGTATGTCGAGTCTTTGAGAGTGATGTAAAGCCCTCGCACCACACCAGTAGGTATTCCTCTCACTCTCAGGCACCAAGTCGACATCTTGGAAGGTGAAACAGTCAAAATGACAAAGAGCTTGGGCTTCAACGTAACCAATGTTTTTAATCAATCCTCTGTTAAACGGTGTACCATTTTCCTGAAAAAGAAATATATATTTATCATATAATGGGTAGGTTTCTCGGCAGGATAAAGCCAACAGATAGAAACGATATCCGTTGGGGTCATAGGCGGATAGAGATGCAAATATCAAAGGTCAAGTAGGGACTACTTTCAGTGTTTCAGTCGTCCTTGTCATTCGGCGATCCAATAAGAATTAACCATCGGGAATCTGGAGAAACTACTGGGATAATTGCTATCATTATCAAAAGAACAGTCTAATATACTCAAAATCCGTGTCTAACTGTGACGTAGCTAAGGCATTTTACAAGTTTGGGCAACTTTGGAGATATAAATTTCGAAACAAGTTTGAGAGGGCACCAGGCCTAGCCAAGCGGGATCAGTAGCCATATCTGTGCTTGCAGACCTCTGCGGCTTGGAACCTGTCCACAAATTAAATAGTAGGATTTGGCCAAAATATGTTCGAATTGCTACCTTTTTCGTTTTGTCGCTGTGTGTACATCTGACTGCACTTCGTAACGTTATGTCAGGACAGGCCGACTGTCAACAACGTCTGACCGTAGCCGTGACGTCTCATAGACAAGGGTTAGAGTAGCTTCCCTTTGACAAAGGGCAGTTAGTTTATCGGACAGGGCCAAGGCTCGCTTAATAGAATCCATATTCCTAATACAGGATATTTACCATCTCCAAACACACTCGTGTGATATTCTATATATTCTTTGTTTTCTTGTTTTTTCAATCAAGTGAATGAAATGAGCGTCAATTTAATTTACGCAATTGTTATACCATGACACGCATCAACCCGATAAGTTGCTAGGGTTGCTGAAGTACATTTCTAACCGGGATCTTCACGCCATTGGTAATTTATTATGATTCGTCTGTTCCTTTTCATTGAAAGTCAGTCTTGAATGTGCAAGGTGTATATTTAGATTGAATGTATTTCCTTCTTCACCATGTTACTTCACAACCACACACATTGACAACAAAAAGATCAGGGTCATCCAGCCTAATCCCCTGACACCCTTGTAATCTCATAATGTTAAAAAACCCGGAAAAGTGAGACGGGTGAGTGGGTGAGTAGGATTAACCATGCATTTGAACATTATTTCAGTTGTATGACAGTGTGTTCGCTAGCTGTTGTTAGAAGCCCGACGTGACCCAGGTGGATATTCAGAACATTTGCTGAACCTACGGGTATCGTCAGAGAAAGATGTGGACTGTACAAATGGGGTCACTATATGGCTGAAATACTGCCAATGAGACTTTAAATGTCAACTCACTCACTTTCGCAATTGTGTTGTCCACACAACGGTGAGACTGTCTACTACTAAGCTGTGAGGTGTACTGTCAACACACCTGCTCCACTACAAAGATGGCATATTCCGCCTGTTGTTTCTGGAGCACTCTGTGGAGGTTGTTGAGGAGGATCTTCAGGTTCACCTCTCTGTCTCTGTAGGGAACTATTATGGCAAGTCGCTGTGGAGAGGCACATCCAAGCGGGTGGTGGTATCCCCCGGGGAGAAGTGTCTTGGACGCATTCAAGGTCGCCTCAAGATCAAGCCATGGTAGCGATTCGTTTAGTATTCGTCGTTTCTCACCTGAAGAATAGTACCGATACAATTACTGATATACATATATGCCTAGGAAATGATTATTTTCAAAGATGTCTTATTACACACATATATTCATGGACGCATGCAAGGTCGTCTCGGGGTCACGGGCGGCCCAGTCGTCTAAGGACAGCCTTCAGGGATATAACCCGGCTGTTCGAAGTAGAAGCCAGACCAGACAACATGCAATATGATAAATTTATTTAACGTGCTAACGTGTCCAAAATGCAATCGTTTAATTGAAAATATAGTAACATAAGTGCGCGAACGTATATTTAACATTTCTATCATGCTATTCATGGAGTGGCAGCACCGAGAAAATAAATTTAAACACGTACATGTAGGACCGAAAATACATTTTGAAAACGTAAATCAGCTGTATTCTTTATTACTTTGTGACTTCATGGCACTGTCATTCAGATCGAGCTTTGCTATAGTATGTTAAGCAGCAGTGGGAATCAAAAGCCTCGCTTCGTGAAAACACATCTACTTTCAGATCAATGCAAACTGTTTGAAAGACATCTTAAACATAAAGAACAATATCAGCAGTTTTCTCGAGAGGCGCCTCTATAAAATGTAGATGTGATGTTCCTTCAATTCTTGGTCAAAACTGGTCCCGATGCAATTTCAAGTGCCGACTATACATGGGTCGTGCACATGGCGTAACCAACTGACTCGCTATTTATTGGCGACATGATCGTGGACGTGGACACACTGTTGTCATGTGATCATCCGTCATCAACCTGATCCAATCGAATTGGCGTTCCAGAAACGGCACTTAAGATATTCTCGCACATACGTAGAAAAAACCCTCGACAAAACATCTTCCTTAATCATTCGACAGTTCTGCTAAAAGCAGAGTCCATTGTGCGATTCAGACTATATCATATTCATGTGTTTCTGAATCACTATCAATTAGCGATAATACCAATGTTCGCAAAAAGGTGAGCGTATCCTACCTCACAAGAAATTATCTTAAGCTCGATACATTGTTTGTGTGTTCCCTAACGCCGCATTCAGCAATATTCCAGCTAACTCGATATATAGGCCAGGCGAATGCGACAAAACATAACTGGTGATGTAGAACTAAACACACATAAAAGGGTAAAAAGAAAAGGTTCAATGTCCATATATTCCTGCGAAACACTTTTATGGACCATCAAAGCCTTTCTCCTCTGATATTATATCATGTGACACACCTCAAACCTCTGACATGTTCATAAGGTATGGTGTGTATTACTATTCCAGTTACACGGATAAACACTTTTACCGATAGGCACATATCGGTAAATGTAAACGGCGACCATGCTTGTCGTAACTAAGGGGATCAGATGGTCAGGATCGATGTATGTCATCGTATGTAAGCTGCGTGGATCGATGATCATGAAGTCAATCACCGGATTGTTTGGTCCAGACTCGATTATTTACAGACCCCCGTCATTTCGCTGGAATATTGCTGAGTGCGGCGTTAATCAACACACAGCAAACAAACAAGCAAAACATATCCGCAAAGCGGAGATACCTCAGCCAGCATCTATTCGGTACGTCTCGCATGGTCATTTGTAAGGCAAACGCCTGCGTTAGTATATTACCAAATACTTGCTATTGTATTGAATAAGTTAATGCTATTTGACATTATAATTTGAAATTAATAATATAGCGCAGTCAGTTAACTCACAGTGGCATCTAAACATACTGGTAATCGAATTTGGTCGTGCCAAAAGAGGATTTTAAAGATCCAATGTGTGATGAAAATGGTAGTCCTTTAAGCTTTTTGACATATGGGGTCTAAAAAGAACTTAGCTGTGAAAACGGTTCAAAAATATTCTTTTGTCAAGCGAATCCTACTTCACAGTTATTTCACTCAACACTTTTGCGAGGTAAAATATGACGATTACAGCTTATTTCTTACTTGAACATTTTAACTGCTCCCGAAAACAAGTAATTGATAGCAAGAGCAACACCCAGTACGGTCGGAGCATAATGATAAAGAGTCAGCAAGAATATGAATTGTAACCACCCGATTCTGATATCGGCTCTTACAAGCATGGGGTACCGATTACGACAGGGTTCCCGACAGGGTGTTGAGCATCGTAATATGTAATTATTTTAGTTTCATAAATAACATTGCACCTCGGAAAAGGAATTAAGAAAGAAACAAAAAGCCAACTCACTGAGGTTGTTCTGCTGACATGGAACAAGACTTGGTGAATGTACAGGGAAAACACATGACTGCCCAGTTTCTCTTCTCAGTTCTTTCGGTGAAACATTTTCTTCCTTTACAGCAAGGTTGAAGAGTGCTTGTTTGTGTATCCGGGTCTTGTGATTGACAATTGGATGGGACGTCAAACATGCATATAACAGTACGCTCACGAAAGTCACCTCCAAGATAAAGAGACATACGATATCTCTGTTCATTGACATATTAATAATCTTCTTTGGCCAGTAAGTTCCAACCGCCCAACTTGCTTAAAGGTATGCTCAAACTGCGTGAGAACAGATGTTGTTTACAATTGATCCATTTCTATCGATTGTCTGTTATTCAACCCATTGTTGCAGGCATTCTCTTGACACAGTCAGCTCGTCAGTATCGATATGCCGAGTAAGCTTATGGTATGGCGCTATAAGCCAACGTCCATCGCCTGTTTTCGAATTCTTCTAGGAAGCGGGTGAAGGAATAAACCTACAACTGCACAATGTTCAGCACTACCGTGAACTCAGATATGTTCATGGGACTTAATCCACATTCGTATTGTTTTGTGGTGTCTATTGGGTAGGGTTTCATGTCTTGCACTAACCACAAGGTCTCGGAAACAGTAGCTGTGGTAAATGAGTAGCAATACAATCGAATTAAAATGTCACAATTTTAGTCCAGCCATATGAATACCTTATCGTGTGCATTGTGACGTATACGGCAACTAAAGACACCATTACGAACATATTGTGCCGAAAAGTTAACATTATTTGGTATCTTTATCGCACATGTCAGAATGAATGAAGACCTGACACTTACAACCTGTATAAACGACGGGACCAGTACAAATCTTTCCAATACAACGCTTTAATGTAAACATAAACGTGAACAATGGAATATATAACCGCTAATTGTGAAACGTTTATAAAAAGTATTATAGCTAAAAGGGATAGCACAATCATAAAAATGCCCGCATGTTCAAAATCTGCGGGCCAATGTAACTTGATAACAGTCCGCTTTCCCCTTACGACGGGCTGCTGCCTATTCTATTGCTATGTGACGTCATTGATGTCACGTTTTTTGTTTGTGACGTCATCATTTATTATGTTCTATGATGTTGCTATTTGTAAATCGGTTACCTCCGTTGTAAGCTATTTTGCTCTATAATTTTTATTAATAAAGTCACGTTAAAGTCATGAACGTGTTTTTTTTTAAAGTAAATGTCTTAGTACATCACAATTAATTATATAAAAAGACAAAACAGTGTCGAATGACGAATTTCTGTACCACAATTGTCATGTGAAATATGTGAGGTGGGTGTTGAAAAATCCAAAATAGCTGTTAGGCTGTTAAAATATTAGGTCAGTAACAACCAGTACCAGGGGTTAGTAATTCTATTCAATTCTGGTCAATCTCACTTTGAGGCATAATAATGAATCATATTGCTTGACTAGAGGCCATTATCATGCCCGTTGTTAGGTGACGTCATATTGATGTTCATTAGTGACGTCATCTGGTTTTCATATTTGTAAAAGTGGGTAAGTGACATTCGTTGTGTGTTTATTAAATAAATGTTTAAAAAACGATATTGTTGTTTATATTTATTTGATAACAAATTCTATCCATTTTAGCTATAATAACTGTAAGGGGCGGTCGGGTAGTCTAGTGGTTAAAGCGTTCGCTCGTCACGCCGAAGACCCGGGTTTGATTCCCGAAATGGGTACACTGTGTGAAGCCCATTTCCGGTGTCACCCGCCGTGATATTTTTGGAATATTGCTAAAAGCGGCGTAAAACCAAACTCACACACTCGCCATAATAACGGTAACGTTATTTTTTCAGGGCATTACTAGTATCATTTGCAGACGCAATCGGTCTTTTCAGCTTATTAATGGAAAACCTCGGGCTTCTGCAAATGATAATGCTCTGAAAAATAGCGTTACCATTATACTAGTGAGTTAAGGAAAAAATGGTGCAAATGATTATGTATAAAATAAAGAAGAGCAGTTTTGCACGAGCGTTTAGGACAACGATGTTGCAAATAGTGATGCCACTGACAAAATTGGATCTTCTTAAGGTTATTACATTTATACAATGGCGTGACCTGTATTGAGATGACCTCAGATCTTTGTGTAGCGGCAGCGAGTGAGATCTGCTTGTGATGAGATTTGTAATGTACTGAATGGCATTCCATACCAAACCCTTTCGCGAGTCAACAGCAACTGTCAACTGTCGTAACAATTGCTATATATCAAATTTAAAAAGTTTTCGGGGGGATATTTCTTAGGGAAATGAAATCAATGATTAGTCTGAAATGATCCGTCACATAATCTATTTGATAATATCTTCAAATCTAAACATATTAATATTTTAAATACTGGATTCTCTGAAAAGTGTTGGTTTTCATTTTGTTTTGATAAATACATCAGCCTGCAAGAGTCGAGGATTATAGAGAGGTGCTTATTTGATCTGACATGTTTTAACTTGGGAGCCCTTGGTATTGATGCCGTTTATGTAACCATCGCAAAGAAAATATTTAATGTCTCAGCAAAACTGACAAACATTTAAATCAGGAATATTAATATCCGTAACACAATTTGGTTGTAAACACGTTTAGATTATGAACATGTTTGGGTTTTAAACAATTCCAAACATGTTTAGGATATAGATAACTAGACATATGTAGTGATCAGAACACGCTTTATTTATCGGATAAGGAATAAACACGTATCTTACAACATTGTGACCTATTAAAAGTCTTCTGGTGAAATTGCATAAAGTATCTACGGGCCAAGTCTGACCAAACTTCTTTAGAGTGTGTAGAGGGAAAACGGCTTCACTTTAACGGACCAGCGATGTACTGTGACACTATAAAGTGGAATTTAGGTCGATATGATACCATCCTATAGACGTTAACACATTTGATTATGCATGTTTGAGGTTTTAGATGATTTTGAGAGCCCGGGCCAAGTGAACACATGTGACAGATTTTCTTGAGAAAATGCAGTAAATGTGCTTCACTTTAACGGACCAATTTTCTTCACTACGATGTACTGTGATATTATAATGTGGTATTTAGGTATATATAATACCATCATATAGATGTTAACACATTTGATGATACATCTGTGAATTTAAAGTTGATTTTGACAGCCCGGGCCAAGTCGGACCAAACACAAGCCAAACACTTTTGATAGAGACTATGTTGAGAGTGAAGAGGGGAAAGGGCTTCACTTTCAGCAACGTGCTTGCTTTAAATAGCACGATCTGTGACACTATAAAGGTAGATATAATACTAGTCTATAGATGTAAACACATTTGATGATACACCTGTGAGGTTTTAGATGATTTTAATACATAACACCCAGTCTCCTTCTGGACCCACTGAACTCTATCATATTGTGAATAAGGAGGGAACATTTGATATCGGATTACATCGCATTAAGAGGTTGCATGCTTCCCAAGATGCCTATTCGCTTCTGAGGCCTTTGAGGTAGAAGTTCAAGCGGAACAGAGTGGTGGCTACATGTTTGAATGCTCGGTGGCCGGGGATATAGTTTGTTGTTTGTTTGTTGTTTAACGCCGCACTCATTAATATTCCACCTATCTGACGGCGGTCTGTAAATAATCGAGTCTGAACCAGACAATCCAGTGTTTGATATCGTCAGCATATCCACGCAATTGGGATCGATGACATGCATCAACCAAGTCAGCCAGCCTGACCACCCGATCCCGTTAGTCGCCTTTTACGACAAGCATAGTCTTCGACCCCACAATCATAGGATTCTGGCGTGCCCAAGGCGCGAACTCTGCACAGCGAATTGCGGCGCATGAGACGACGGGGGCACCCGTGCCCCATCCATCATACGAAGGGTTGCAGAAATGTTTTAAGCCTATATGTGCGTTGATGGAGGTGGTTGCTCATTTTTTTTCAACATAATGCCTTCCAAGGTCCACATACTTCTGCCGAAAGTTGATACCATGCCTAAATCAACTTTAAAGTTGGGAGATATTTGATGATCACGTGGTAGCCAATAATACCTAGTCACGTTGATGCCAGCAGAAATATGCTGCCTGGTTGTCTTTTTGGTTCAAATATAACCTGTAAGCATGGATACAGTGCACTTAAGACATGAAAACTGTGAAGGATGTACTCACATCATGTCACATCATAGCTTTGCCCAGAATCTTTACGACACCCCTCACAACATGCTGCGTTGCCGACACAACCTTAAGAAAAAACTTAATTCCTTGATCAATTTACAAAACGTGGTGACCATAGATATAGTAGCATATCTATCTTCTGAAGTTCAGGTCAACTTGTCAAAAATGAAAGCAAATGTCATATGAAGTTTACTGAGAAATCAATATGTGAAATGCTGGACTTCCTCATTGCATAACATCTGTGTGAAATTTTTCGGTAAGGCATTTAGGCAAGAAGTAAGCATCGCCATGGGTACCAAATGCGCCCCTCTTCTTGCTGATCTGTTTCTTTATCCATATGAATCAAAATGTCTGCTCGGATTGGCAAAATTAATTTGGCCAAGACGTTTAAACTTAGGCTTCAGGTATATATCGATGATCTGATATCGTTCAATAACCATCAAATAGACAATTCCCTTCCACTCATTTACCCACCTGAACTAGAAATGAAGGAAACCACTGAGACCGCTTCATCTGTTTCATATTTAGACCTATGCGGAAAGATTCAGAGTGACAAAACACTACCAAGATTTCAGTGAGCATCACCTCTTGCTCAGAAATTGTTCGATCAGGGTTACAACATTCAAGGTCTCAGTAAAGCTTACATTACGTTTTACTATAGACAAATGGAGGACATTTCCATATTTGACGCATCAGTGACAAAAATGATGTTTGATGCATTTTTCTTGTTTGACTTGTACCCGATGTTCCCATGTTTTTTTTAGGTGTACTATTGACTTGCCTGTGCATGTCGTTGTGACTGTTCCACCGGAAGGGCAGGATACGCTCATCTTTTCGCGAACACCTCGTATCATCACTATTTGATATTCTGCCATGACAACCGTTTAATAGAAAAAATACCGTAGTTTGATGTTTGTGGCGATGATGTGATGTTCTAGGCCATAACCCTGACTGCTTCGATGATGCGTTTACAAGACATTACGAGGGCATTCCTGTTGTATACAAATGAAATGTTTATGAAACTGTTAGGGACATGTTTGATGGCGAACAGACTCAATCGGAACAGGCAGTTTCTTCTTTGAAACAACCAACAATGAAAGTAAAATATAACATTATAAAAATGTGTTTGAAAACAATATATTCATGACAACATATTGTTTACAAACCTTTTTGTGATCGATATCCATTGCCTCTCCGTAAACAACAAACGCAAGGATTTGGAAGGACGGGATTTAAAAGTCCATCAGAAAAACGGGGGCGGTCGGGTAGCTTAGTGGTTAAAGCGTTCGCTCGTCACGCCGAAGACCCGGGTTCGATTCCCGACATGGGTACAATGTGTGAAGCCCATTTCTGGTGTCCCCCGCCGTGATATTGCTGGAATATTGCTAAAAGCGGCGTAAAACAATACTCACTCACTCACTCACTCGAAAGGCTACGAAAACAATGTCCTGACATCACTGATGGCACAGCACAGAAGCTTCATCATTACAACTTATCGAACTTGATTTCAGAACACGCACATTTAAGCAACTCACACGTGAATCACGGGCCACAACTGTCACGTTCACGGGCCACAACTGTCACGTTGTCTTTCACATGCTGGCGTCGAATCCGTGAAATCTTGAAATTATCAGGTCAAATCAGGTGTCAATAGCCGACTCGTCTGCAGCCTAAGAAAGGACTGCTCAAGTTCCATTGGCAATCACGTTTTACCATCAGGCTCATTTCAAGTAAATCTACAGGTTACTGTTGACCCACATCATAGATCGGGATTGCTATCTCGCTTCGTGTAACTTCACCGAGAATGTTAACAACAACATTGGCAGCCATTGGCTCACAGCTCACCGTAATGTAGGTCATGTTCTGCCACATCCAAGTTTGGCATAATTTTGATTTTTTTTTAAAGATTTTTATTTACTGGGGGTAATTGCTAAATAACTGATAAGACTTACACATGTAAACAAATAGAAAGATGTTAATTCATAAAGTTTGTTGGTGTAGCATTTTTAAAACTATTTCTACAACATGTCAACCCTAACATGGGAAATTGCACATTCAATTTCAAAGAAATTATTCATCGGGCTGAGTTCCAAGAAAAGACTTGTACAGCAGTACAACAGTGTACAGCAGGTTGCGATGAGATTTAAACATATCTTTGGACTAAGCTTGGAGTGTCATTTGTCACTTCTTTTTGAAAAACTATGTTTTGAACACACATCTTGAACTTGTCAAGAATATTGGTATTTTCATGTTGATCTTGAGTAACATTCGTTACATACATAAATACCCGTGACCCCTTTTGGGATGTTCTAAGACAGCAGACCTTTGTTATTTCTGGTCTGTTATGCTGTTTTGTTAGGCGTTGCAAAAGAGCAACGGTTTAATGGAAATAAACCTATCTAAATATAATGTAGTCCCACTGTAGAGTAGATACCTCTTATTTATACATTTGAAACCTCGCGCTACAGCCCTCGGTTCCAAATTAAAATAAGAGGTACAACGCCTCGCTGTCAACCATGTGACCAAGCATGGCCACTCGATCCATTAAAATACCAATAAATAATGTGTGAAACCTCCATGTAAATGTCTTAGTATAGGATAGCGTCATGCATTATATTGACAAACAACTTGTCATATTTAATCAGGTTTTTTTTAGTGTCTACCATAAATGTTCTGAAATTACTTGACCAGGCCTTTGGTAGTTAAACCTTGGTTGAAAAGCGAAGTTGTGAGTATTATGTGTTTTTCCACGTGCATGTTTTTAAGTGTCTAGTGGACTGGGAAATAAAGACGCTATAAGCTATAACTGATGGTATACTGCTCCATATAAAGGCGAAGTTCAAGAAATGTACATTTTGCTACCGATAAACAACATAATTGATTTTTTTTCTATTGGTTACAATACGGGCAAGAGTCGACAGTCAGGTGACTGCAAACAGTGACAAATGCCAAATGGATAATAAAAATACAAGTTTTCCTTAAGATTTGGCTGGTTGGTTGGTTTGTTTGTTGTTTTACGCCGCACTCAGCAATATTCCAGCTATACGACGGCGGTCTGTAAATAATCGAGTCTGGACCAGACAATCCAGTGATTGACATCATGAGCATCGATCCACGCAATTGGGATCGTTGACATGTATCAACCAAGTCAGCCAGCCTGACCACCCGATCCCGTTGGTCGCCCTTTACGACAAGCATAGTCACCTTTTACGGCAAGCATGGGTTGCTGAAGACCTTTTATACCCCGGATCTTAAGATTTGGTGCTACATCTGGATCTAGCAGTTTATCTCTTTCTAACATCCTTTAACAATTTTTTGGTATGAGACAAAAACTGTTGGCTGGCATCAGTGGCAACTGTAAGCAGATGCTTCGGCTAAAGCCGCCCTTAATAAACAAACTTCAAACACAAACTTCCCAAATTCTGATTTAAAAGCTTCCATCAGGCAATATGTGAATGATCATTGGCAACAAAGTATCAAGAATCTGAAAAAAACTCCATGCCATCAAACCACTGATTGGGGGTCACGCACATTTTGGTTTATATCGTCATGATGGAAGTTGTTTTTCAGCGGTGCCGCATTGGCCACAGTTATCATACACATTCATTTTTACTGAAAGGTGAAGATCCACACCTTTCGATAGGCCACTTACTATTCAGCAAGTTTTGCTTGAATGTATTGATTTTGCACTTGTCAGACAACGTTTTTATGATAATGTTCATACCATATCTAAACGTTTTACCACAGTTTATAACCACTTGTTCTTAGCGTATCAAACTTCATGATAAAATATATTTGTATCTGTACAGTCAGTTTTTTTACCTTTGAATGTGATACATGACAGGTTTTAGTGATTTTCCACATCACTTTTATTGGTTGATATATGATAACACTAAAACCATTTCTCGCCGCGAACAGCTGCAAAATTGCTGATGCGGCCTTAAGCAATATTAGCTCACTCACTGAAGGTCCATCACGTATTCTAATAAGCTTGGCACCATTTCACAAAGCGACTTTAGCGTTACGACTAGTCTTACGATAGTCATAGCGTTAACATCTCTTTGTGAAAAAGGCCCATGGATCAAAGAAGTGAATAGCATCATTCACTTACTGGATTAATGGTTTTAAGTATTAAACAGTAGAACATGAAAATAAAATCTGTTTATTTGCGTCTTGCATAGTGTACATCTTCTGTTTATTTGCGTCTTGCATAGTATACATCTTCATATTCTCCAAGATATGTCATTTCCGACATTCGTCGTCCATTCTCTTTCCTCTTTGGCACCTGAAATAGACAAGACATTACGTACTTTATCATGGAGAGAACCTTGAATATGTCTACTTCATTACGGACGAAAGATATTTGGACATACCCACCACGTGTATACAACTGATTACAAATTTTCTTTTTATGCCCCCGATTTGAAAAAAACCCGGGGGTTATACCGATCAGCATGTTCGTCGGTCCGTCATCCGTCCGTCCGCCCGGTTTCCAAAACCATTAAATATTTCTTGTTGAAACTTTCAATATAGATCAGTCTAGTGGTGAACTGATGCCTTTTGATGATTTGGGATTATGTTTTATTCGACTTTGCTGAAATTGAGAATAGTGCTCGTATCCGAGGCAGATCTCCTAAACCGTTGAATATTTCTGGATGAAACTTGCTATACAGATCAGGCTAGTTGTGAACTGGTGCCTTTTGATGATTTGGGATTTAGAAAATACTGAACAGCATTATTTGTTTCTTCACTGAACTGATGGTATTTAATGACAATAAACTAAAAGTGAGGTATAAGTAGCTAAACTCTCCTGATGACTATATGTCATATAAAGTTGAAGTTGCCATTCACGACTTCAAGGCTCCATTGAGCCTGGATTTTCTGTTAAGCAGTAACTATAACAATAACTAAGCAATTTGTCCAAATATGAAACACCATCATTTCGCTGTACCCTATTTTCTACATTGTAACAAGAGTGAGTGAACAGTATTTCAGTGACATCACGGCGTGGCAGATCATTGTGTGAGAAAAGGCCGTAGTAATGCAGGTCTTGGATGTTTACCACTCTGCTGACAAACATAAAAACAATCTTGGCGAATCTTGAATTCGAATCCAAGATCAAACAGGTAAGTTTATAACTTGCCTGGGGGAAGCATCTCTCCATGTCGAATTGAGACGCTTTAGACGACCGATCTACCTTGCCCCCGAATGAAATAATAAATGGATAGTTGAATAGCTGCTGCAGACATATCGCAATCGCGACGTCACAGATTTGACATTATAGAACGTCAAATAGCCTCAAACCATATTATGTTAACAGAATAAAACATGTTTTGCCTTTAATTATTCATGAGGATCGAAAAGGTTTTGTTGGAGGTGAGGTTACAAGAATGATTTATGATGTGATGGAATATACTGAATCTTACCAAATACAAAGTTTATTGTTATTAATTGATTTTGAAAAAGCATTTGTTTCTGTGTAAGGAAAATTTATGTATGCATGATGTACTAAAAAAAAATTAAGTTTGGACCAAGTATTCAACATTGGGTAAAAGTCTTTTTCGAAAATATTGAATCAAGTGTTTTGGTAATTGGATATGCTAGTCCTTTTTTAAAGTTTCAAGGGGTTGTCGCCAGGGGGATCCGATAACACCATATATCTTTATTCTTGGGTAATACACTCTTCAAAGAAACGCACAGGTAGATTTTCAGGAAATTTATTGTACCTGATAAAGTCGATATATTTAATTTGATATAAAAGATACAAATATGCAATTTTGGAGATCGATTGTCACATGTTGTCGTTGCACAAAGGCATTGAAAACTGTTCATTGTCATGTCACATAAGGCCACAAGGTTGCGCTGAATTCAGTATCTCGTGTGACTGCGGGCAGCAATCACGCATCTGCAATTCCTCGGCACGGACTGGATAAGTGTACGAATTCTGCCCTGAGCCATTCTGCGCCATTCTGTTTGCAACGCGTTGGCCAGTTGTGGGAGAGTCTGTGGCGTGTTCTGACGTTGACGTACACGTCGATCGAGTTCATCCCAGAGGTGTTCGATTGGGTTGAGATCTCGACGGCCATGGCAAGACGCATTATGAGGGTAGTCAAAGGTTGGAAGAAGGTGAGGTTGAAGAATTTCATTCATGTAGCGATTTGCTGTCAAATTTCCATGAACCACAACCAAGTCAGATCTCGTGGTGTAGGATGACACTACCGCAACCGCATTTGTCGAATTCACGTGCACAATGTGGGGCAAAACGCTCATTTCGACGACGATAAACACGGTGTCTTCCATCTCGCCGGTGAAGTAGAAATCGTGATTCATCGCTAAACCACACTCGTCTCCAGTTTCTCAAATTCCAAGGCTGTAAGGTATGGCACCAACACAAGCGTCGCTGTTGACAGATCTGTTGCAAACCAGGGACGATAACTGGTCTTCTAAATCGGATTCCAGCCTCGCGAAGATGGTTCCTGTCAGTCTGGTCCGATATCCTCCTCAAACCAGGGATGCTTCCTGCAGTCTCCGTAGCTGTGGCATTGCGATGACTAGATGGAACATTCGAATGTAGCGATCCTGTGCAGGGGTGGTAACTCTTGGTCGGCCGGTTCTCGGACGGTCTGCAGTGGAATTGAACTGTGTGTATCGGTCACAAAAGCGGCAAATGGTGCTGTGGTGGACGTTGAAGTGGCGTTCAACAGAAGACTGCGATTCCCCTCTTTGGATACGTCCTATGGCGATGTTCCGATCGGCAGCGCTGAGTCTCGGCATTTTCGAACTTGAAAAATGTTGACAATTGAATTACAAATTAATGGCTTATGCCTGCTTGCACAATTTGCAGCTGATACTACATTAAGTTCAGATGGATCTGAAAAAAAGCCTCTATACCACAATGAGTAAGTTAAAGATGTTGCCCCGTTTTGGGGATTGAAAGATCATGCTGAAAAAAACAAGTTGATATGGATAGGGTAAAAAAAACAGATCAAGATATAAGTTATGTGAGGACTGGAATTTATTAGGCATAGATTTTGATGTTGATTTGGAAATATGGTTAATTTAAACTATACAAACAAGTTTGATAAGATAGAAAAGGAAATGGAAATGTGGGGGAAAAGTAACCTGAGACCTGTGGGTAGAAAAGTTGTACTAAAATCGTTGTTGTTACCCAAACTTAATCATCTGTTTTGCAGTATACCAAGCCCACCCAAAAGTGTAATAGAAAGGTTTCAGTCAAAATGTTTTCACTTCATCTGGAGATCTAAACCTGACAAAGTTAAAAGGGAAATTATGTCACAACATCCTGAATATGGCGGCTTCAGTGTCCCAGTGTTGGAAATGGTTATCGGTGCACTGAAAGTAAGCTGGATTAAGAAACTGGTTAATGGTAATTCCATGGTAATGGACAGCTTTCTTTTTTGAAAATGTAGCGTGTGCAAATGTAATTTACCTGGCTGATGCTGTTTATGTTAACGAAAAGATTTATTCCAAACATTAAAAATATGTTTTGGAGGGAAGATTTGTTATGGTGGTCAGTACACTTGAATTGCTGTGATAATGTTAAAAAATCTGATGAGGATATAATAATGAAATCAAAATTGATGGTAAGTCTATATATTTTCCACAATGGCATCAAAAGTGAAAAGCATATATAAATGACTTCATTAATGACACAGGGAAATTATATGATTTTGATGAATTTGTACAAAAATACAGTTTAAAGACAGACTTTTTGACCTATCAAGGAGTAAAACTGGCAATAGTCTGGTATTTACAAAATAACAATATAAACCAATGTGCTAAAGGTTGCAAAAGGCCTATACTGCCATATAATGTATCAAAACTAAACAATAAAAAGGAAAGCAAGGTATTTTATGAACCCCAATAAACCCTAAATTCATAAAACATAAGTGAAAAACAGTATACAGATACAGAGTGGACACACTTTAACCTATTGGCAAAAAAATGTACACAAAGATCTGAATTAAGATGGTTTCAGTTTAAAGTTATACATAATATTTTAATTACGAACTGTTATTTATTTAAAATTGGATATGTTGAATCGCCAGTTTGTTCATAATGATTATGTAATGAACCATCTGATGTAATTGTCCCTATGCTGCTGATATATGGGTGAAACTTCAGTTTGGCTTGGAAACTATACAGAAGGCAGATTTAATTTTAGAAATGAACACATATTGTTTGGATTTAAAGAGAAGAATAACAAGTAATGATGATAAATCAATGATGCTGTACACATTTAATTGAAAAAAGCAAAACCAATCTTTTTACTATTTCAGAAGGAATGCTTCGATATTATGAAATTACAAAATGTTTTGCATATTCAAATTGTAATTATGCAAGTTTCCATGCCTTCTGGTCTTCTCTACATGTATTATTTAGAAACTGTATCACTATGACATCTGATCTGTTCATGCTACAAACAGGGGGCACGGGTGGCCCAGTCGTCTAAGGCGCCGCGATTCGCTGTGCAGAGTTGCGTCCCTTAGGCACGCCAGAAACCTATGATTGTGGGTTCGAATCCCGGTTCACCCCGATTCTAGGTTTGTCAGCACCATACCCGTGCTCGTGGGTTACACCGAAGTGGTAAAGGTCTAAGACCTGCATCACTTCGGGCTTTCCTCCCACATTAAGCTGACACGCCGTGATATGACAGGAATACTGTTAAAAGCGGCGTTAAACCCAACTCACTCACTCACTCATGCTACACACATGCCAATAATGTCACAATAAATCCATGCACACTCTATGTATGATATTGAAATGTATGATATTGAAATGTAAAATATGATGGAAAATGGAATCAAAATATATTCTAAAAAATAAATAAATAAATAAATATTATGATATCAACGATGTCAGATAAAATTTCGTTTTGGTTATAATAAAAACCCGGGGACATACAGAACATCTTTTGAATTAACGGTGATCGTGTTATTCACTGTCACTCGAAATTAGACAGAAAAACTAGTGATAGGAAACAACCGTTTGTCACGTTGGCTTCAGGTACACGTTATATTCATGAAATCACTTTTACCAAATGTTATGTGTTAGAGGAAATTGTTCTATATTATCTGCCTTACCTTCTTTTTCACTTTGTTTTGACTGTGGTTGTTTTGACTGTGACCTTCCGCGTTGTTTCCACAACTGTGTAAAGAAATATCCAATTGTTATAATCTACCTTGTGAACTGTTTAACTTAATACTATTAAAGATTTGGGTAAACATGGACCCACCCAAAGAGAAACGCTTTGAAACAGCTTTTCTCGGCCACTTCGGCGCAGATTTTGGTTTCCCAATTTCACGGAGTATAAGCTTAATGTGAGAGCGACAGTACAGTGAACGAACGTGAATCATCGCAAAGGCACGCGATCGTTTAGCGACTGAAGGTTATGATCTCATGTTTACTCGGTAGATTGGAACCGGTTTTTCTTTGGATGATTTTGTTTATTACCCTGTTGTGGTTCATTGTTTTTGAAAACTGTATGGAGTTCCTCCAATGTTCGAGCAGCAGCATACACGCAATAGTTACTGTCATGCAAAGAACAGTCTGCGTTGATAGTGACAGTAATAATTACATTTCATTTATCAAGTTGATTCTGTGGAAATGATTTGTTAAATTGCTTAATTGGCCTGCGTTTCTCAATCGGTAAATCACAGATTTGATTATAGATTGACATTAACAAAAAATGCAAAGGATCGTTGACAAAAGAAGGGTCGGAATCGGGAGAAAACTCAAAATCTTCGAGGCCACCATCAGGAATTCCATTTTGTGACAACTGCATCAGGTAATTTCGGAAGAATAATGCGAACGTTCATTTGCAATTTCGGGTCTGCTTCTATGGGAACTGAGGGTTCCTGCAAAGGCGACAGGCGATTGTTGGCTGTTAGCTCACCAGGTTCACGGCGCAAATATAATTTTAGTCGCCGGAGCTGGTCACGGATGTTTTGTTCTGTCAGATGTGCATACTTTGGCATGACTTTTTCCTGCTATGAATCTGTTTTTATCTTTGACAAATTCATTGAATTTGAAATGTTTCATTTACAATGTAAAGTCTATTTGATTTGCACAAAGATGTTATATTTAATTGTATATTTGTGGGTTTGGTCACTCAGTTCATAGACTTTCAATACCTGTTGAAATAAAATGAATAAGATTCATTGCCTCCAGTCAAATATGCCCAGAAGGCGGTGGCTCATGGGCCAATCTGATAGATTAATTAATTTCCAATTAATTCTTCTGCTTGAGTATACCACCTCAGTATCCTTGATGCTGCCAGTTGGAAATCCACTGGTGTTAAGCATCGTCTTTTTGACACTCCATGGTTGGTGGGGAGCTCGGGTGGCGAACCATATACACAATCAACATGGCACAACCAAAAAAAAAAAACATGCACTAGATGAAAAACTTTTTCGCTGGTCTCGATTTTTAGTGGTTACTGCTGCTGATGGTATGCCATTGAGGCCTAACCCATTTGCTATTTCTAAGGCGCTTTATGGCATTGCAGGCGATGTTCAGGGTGTGAAAAAATATCGCTCAGGGTTTCTACTGATTGACTGTAAAACTGCAAAGCACACAAGGCGTTGTCAGAGACGGGGAACGTTGTCTCTGTGATATTTTATTTCACGTACCAAAGATATAATCATCTTCAAATCAAACACCTACATTGTATCTCATGACGTTCTCAAAACCAGCTCCTCCTAAGAATATCAAAGCAGGATATTTGAACATTGAAGTTGATCACTACATTCCCACCCCACTTCGATGTTACAAATGTCAGCAGTTTGGGCATGGTGCACAATCATGCAAGAATCACAAACTATGCCATCAATGTGGAGAAAATGACCACAACACAGATAACAAATGTACCAAAAGCCCTCACTGTGCAGATTGTTCTGGCGATCATCAAAGTCCTGTCCCAAGTTCAAACTTCAGCTTCAGATTGTTAAGCTACAACATGAGAGAACATTACTTTACTGAAGCAAAACGTTTGATCCTGCAATCTGTCTCACCGACCACAGCTGTGTCCTACTCGGCAGCTGTGACTCGCACACCTTCTAGATCTGTCACGTCTGTCCATTGCCAGACAGATACTACTTGGATTTCAACAGAAAATTATTCCTTATTACGGTTAAATTCTTCTTCCCAAACAAATGATGCACCAAATCAGCGCATGTGTCAACACCGTCAATGGCAACTGCAACAACAATTCAGATCGTGTGCCAAAGGGTCACCGCGACTCCATACAGATTTATAATCGTTTCGAAACCTTGGAGGACATGGATGCCTGTCCTCACCATCCCTTCTCAGTAAGTCGCCGCGAAATGGGATACGTGGATGTCCTGTACATCAATCAGTAACTTGAATATTATGAATCCACTGATTCAGAGGAACTGCAGAGGTCTCAGGACCAATTTTAATGAACTACATTTATTATACCCCGCCACGAAGTGGAAGGGGGATATAGGAATGGGTGCCGTCCGTCCGTTCTTCCATCCGTCCGTCTGTCCGTCCGTCCGTCACATTTCTTTTCCGGAGCAGATCTTGGAAACCGTACCATATTTCTTCACCATACTTGGCACTTAGATAGGTCTAGTGGTGAACTGGTGCCTTTTGATAGTTTGGGATTTTTAAAAAAATTATTTTTCGAGTTTCCATGGCAACGACTTCGATTTATGGCGGTAGTCCTCGTTTCCGGAGCAGATCTTGAAAACCGTACCATATGTCTTCACTAAACTTGGCACGTAATGTCATCTCGCAGTATTGAATACATTTCCTTTCTTGTTGGTAAGTTCTGCATTGCTTGAGTGTATGTTCCTCCAAAAGTGTCATGGACACGGTTGTTGCATTCACTGACTAACTTCATGCAGAAACACAACTCATTACAAATACAACAGTGTAACTGATCTTAAACCTACTCAACTGTATAAACACTGCCTCCTATCCTGTATATATTCTTGTCAACCATACTCTGTATTTCACTTGCTTGATAACGGTGTTAGAACCTTCACCGAAACCATCACTCCTAATTGCAATAAAGAAGTTGTTCGTCCATATGTCTCATCCTTACTCATTACAAATACAGTTACATATTCTATCATAAACTGTAGATGGCAAAACCAAACCAGTAATAACTTTTTTTAGTGCTGCAATTAGGCCATTTACAAAAAGGCCCAGTGAACATAGTTCACAGAACTAATGCATTGCACACAACTGGACATGTCATATTGTCGGGGGATATGAGTATTTCATGCTTGTTAATCCAAGATTTTACGCCATCAGCAACCTGTTTCCAGGAGACATATCTCAAACAGACATAACTTCAGAGATCAGATCTTCAATCTCTGTACGATCAGCTTCCTAAGCCCTGTGTGATCATGGGTGATTTGAACGGCCATAACCCATTATGGGGAAATGTTAATACTAAAGGAAAAGTCCGATAACAACTTGTGCATTTTCAGTGATGGATCAAGTACATGCTGGAACCTATTCTGCTTTAGATCTGTCACTAACAGAATCAAATCTATTCAATGAATTTACGTGGTCGGTCAATGATGACTTGTGTGGAAACGACCACTTTCCCTCAATAGTAACAGCAATTAATCCATCTGATGTTCCACCTACATCAAGGTGGAAGTTTACCAAGGCCAACTGGCCTTCCTTTCAGGAACTCTCTACAGACAGATTAACACCTGATATGTTCAGGGCGGTTACCTAGCCAAACCAATCGTTTTCGGATAAGCTGAATGAAATTGCTGACATAACCATCCCTAAGTCCTCTGCAAATCCACACATTCGAAAACCATGGTTTGATAAAGCGTGCAAGAGAGAAATATTTCTGCCGACATCCAACTGTCCTCAACTTAAATCATGTTAAAATCACAAATGCCAGTTCGAATCCCGGTTCGCCCCGATTATGTTTCTAGGTTAATCAACACCACACCACACCAAACAAGATATGCATAAGTCTTGGAGGGATTATGTCTCTAAAATTAATTCTCGCACACCAATATCCAAGGTGTCGAACATGATTGCCAAAATTAAAGGCAATGGGTCAAATTCGACTGTCCACCATCTCAAGGAAGGTAACCATCTCTTAACAGATAAATTGGACATTGCCAATAAATTAGGCGAAACGCTGACCAAACACTCTTCATCGTCAAACTATGATCCTAAGTTTCAAAAATATCAGAAACAACAGGAAAAAAACGATACTGCAACGGGAGCTGATAATATTCACTATCAGCTCTTGAAGCATTTGCCTGATTCATGTTTAGAGACACTACTTAATATATTTGATCACATTTGGACATCAGGAAATTTTCCTCCTTCGTGGCGTAATGCAATAGTTGTTCCCATACCTAAACCTGGTAGGGACCATACTGATGCATCTAATTATAGACCAATATCACGATTCAGCTGTGTATGCAAAACCATGGAGCGAATGGTTAACAATTGACTGGTGTGGTACTTGGAAACCAACAAACTCATAAGTAACATACAATGTGGTTTCCGTAAAAATAGAAGTACCATTGACCATCTGGTACGTTTAGAATCTTTTGTCAAAAATGCAATTGTAAATAATCAGCATCAGTATCAATCTTTTTTATTTAGAAAAAGCGTATGATACCACATGGAAGCATGTTATTTTAAAAGATCTACATTATTTGAGGTTAAGAGGTCGTATGGCTCAATTTATATATCAATTTTTAACAGACCGACAACTGGTTCCACCCTGTCTGAACATTATAATCATGATCAGGGTGTCCACACAAGGCAGTATTTTGTCTGTAACACTGTTTAGTATAAAGATTGATAGTCTGTCAAAGGGTTTAAATGATTCCATTGATAGTTCACTCTTCGTGGACGATTTTCATATTTCACGTCGTGGCAAAAATATGCATACCATCGAGAGACAGTTGCAGCTATGTCTCAACAAAATCCAAAAATGGTGTCTTGCAAATGGTTATACGTTTTCAAAAGCTAAGACCAATTGTATTCATTTCTATAGGAAATACAAGCACCACAAAGATCCAGAGCTATTTTTACATGGCACTCCTATCAAGGTTGTAGAAGAGGCCAAGTTCCTGGCTCTCATTTTCGATCACCATTTAATCTTTGAAGCCGCATATTAATTATCTTAAAAC